ACACACACACACACACACACACACACACACACACACACACACACACTCACTTTCTTTCGCCCAAGTTGCACGGGCGGGGACCCCGCCCAACTTCGCCCAATCAATCAATCAATCAATCAATCAATCAATCAATCAATCAATCAATCAAAAAGAAAAAAAAAAAAAGTAAAAATAACGAGAAAAGCGGGTTTCCCCCTTTTTTTTTTTAACTTTTTTTTCTCTTTTGATTAATTGATTGGTTGATTTTTTTCTCTTCTGATTGATTGATTGATTGGTAGGGGATGGGTCGCCCCCCCCACCCCCACGCGATCACACACACACACACGCACACACACGCACACACACAAAAATAAATAAATATATATATTATATATATATATATATATTTTATTTTGAATTTTGAATTTGGTGAAGATTTTCGATGTGACCCTGAGGCAAACGTTGTTCAGTTTTTTTTTCTGCATAACATAGTTTTTTCCCTGAATTTTTGGACGATGTCCGTTTTTTTTTTTTCCAACGGGATTCGACAGTGATTCAACAGGGATTCAATGGGGATTCAACGGGGATTCAACGGGATTCAACGGGATTCAACGGGACAATTTTTTTTTTGGTTCACGTGCGTCCAGCTTCGTGTCCGAGGCCCAATGCACCCTCCCCGTTGAACAATATTCAAAGGGGAGGGCCCGTTGTACCATTCAACAAGAATTCAACGGGACCCCAGGGGCTATTCAACGGGTACAACGGAGTTGAAACTTTCCCGTTGCCCATTGAATAGACACAAAGGTTAAAAAGGATCCTCCCACGGGGAATGGGTTTGATCCTATTAACGTTGACATTAAAAACATGGACGTCTTGTCTAGCGAAACCCTGTTCGTCGTATTCGAGGAAGAAACATCGTGTCGTGCCGACGGGCGCAGCGTGTTGAACCAGCTCTTCAATGTCTTCGGGCATGCGAGGCCCCACCCCCTCGCCCTCATTCCCCGAGTCCCGCAGCTCAGATGCCCTTGACCTCTGCGAGTCTTTCCTACCGCCACCGCGACTGCCCCCACAACTACCACTTCGCCCCCCCCCACCAGTTTTCCGAGGAGCCCGCGCTTCCTGTGATGCCGTCAACGCTCCGCGAGCTTCATTGACGGCATCGGCCCTCGCCTATTTTGTTCGACTCCCAGGAGAGGTCGACGCCTCTCCCCTCTTTCTCTTTCCCCGTAAGCCAGGTTCGTCTCTCCCATCCTTCGTCTGGTCACAAGACTGCGACATTCTGCGGGAGGCCGCAGGCTAGCCACCAGCATCGACCGCGTCACCGACGCGGCAGGCGTCGTCCTCACGGCACCCCCGCGATTCGTTCTGGTGGCGACGGTGAATTTGGAAGGAGCGATTGTCTTCGACTATCTCACCAACATCGTCTTTTTCCTCGTTCATGTCATCGTCCTCACCTTCAACATCTCCTTCATTACCGTCATCCCCCTCACCACCGCCCTCCTCCTCCTCACCACCGCCCTTCCCCTCCTCACCACCGCCGTCCCCTTCCCAACCACCGCCCTCCCCATCTCGGCTCTCGCATTCGTCGTCATCAAAGGCACCTGCACCTCCCCGGGAACGATGCTGGGGACCAGCCCGATAGCGCACAGCTCCGTCGTCGTAGTCTGTGGCCTTGCTGGACTGCTCGGCCGCATCGCGACTTTGCCGATCCGAGGGCGGAACCGGAGCGGGCGAGCCTCGACAACCGCAGCCGACGAAGACGGGGCATTCGCCAATTGCTTCCTCTTTTCACCCGCTCTGGCCGGCTGATCCTGGCACCGTTTGGGGCCCGCGTCAATCGGCACGAAAACACAGTCAACTCGCTTGGCAGCAGGCAGCCTCGCGAACTCTTCCCTGTATCGCGTAACGAAAGCGGCGAGTTGGTCCGTCGGGCTGTTGAATTGGACCAAAGGTCTGCTGAGCATGAAAGCGCTGTCGACGACAGGTAGGGACCCAGTCACGCGGTAGCCATTAGTTTTGGAAAGAAACTTTTCCGGATCTAGCATTTGGAACTCCGTTCCGTTCCCACGCACGTCAAACGCTTTCATCGACAAAGCCTTGACCCCGTATCCTTGGAAGAGTCGATGGTCAAGAGACACCTTCTTGTCTTCCTGACCCAGTTTTTCCGCTCTCTGTCATAGACAGACGTAAGGAAGAATGTCTTGAACTTTGTGCCATCGTAGGTAAACCTCCCCGCTTCCGATTTCTCCACCCCTCAGCAGCAGTACCAACTAAGGCCGTTGTCATCGATCAAGAAGATAACGGCTCCGCAACCCGGCGTATGAAGGCCACCGACCCAATCAAGAGCCCGTGGTTTGTCGTGGTAGAGCTTAGACTTGCCGTATGACCGTTTTTCGGGGACGGCGGCATACGCTGATTTTCCTGAAGGGTCGCACAAAAAAAGACAACAAGAAAACAGAACTAAGCGACATGAAGAAGCATTCGTCGCGGCATGGGAGTTTCGCTACCGCCCCACGCAGCGGGTCCGACGTTCCTGGAACGCCGGACCCCACGACCGTTGTGTGTGCGGGTCTGGCGTCCCCAAAACAGCAGACCCCACCAGCGTGCCTGTCGGCACGGGGGTTGGCCGGACCCCACCAGCGTCAAGAGAGTAAGGGGGCCCGTCCCTCCCCCCCCCCCCCCCCCCCCCCCCTGCCGGTTCGCTAACCGGACCACATTATATGAGATTGCAACTGGATCCGATCACCCATGACACACCCG